AACAGCTGATTTGTCTAGATCAGGGGTAGGCAAGTTCGGTCCTAGAGAGCCGCAGTCTTGCAGAGTTCAGCTCCAACCCTGAAAAAAAAACTCACCTGCCTATAGCCTTAGTAATCCTGAAGACATTGATTAGCTTGTTCAGGTGTGTTTGATTAGGGTTGGAGCTGAACTCTGCAGGACTGCGGCTCTCTAGGACCGAACTTGCCTACCCCGATCTAGATAATAAGAATAATATACAGTACAATAAAAAAATATTTTTAAAAAAATACAAGAAAAAATAGTATTCAAGAGGAAAAGGGTGCTTAATTAATAAAGTAATAAAGCGTTTAGAATGTTAGATTCATTTAGCCTAAGCAAACCGGTTCGCTCGAACAATTTGATTTAATGAATGGCTCACTCAAATGTGTTTATATTTTGAAAAATGTATATTATAAATGTGTGTAAAATATTTTGTTTCTGTTATTGCATTATTACGTTTTTATTACGGTTTCTGTTATTGCATTATTACAGCATTATTACAGTTTTCTACCATGTTATAGTACTGCATTTATTATTTATTTATGCATGTATTTACTTATTTAAATCTAGTTTTTATTTATATCTATTTTTATTTAGTTTTAGTTGTTTTGATCTAACCTTTCACTAAACATTAACACTTCTTGTGGCACCTGAAATCCCTGCGTAAGTGAATGAATTCGTTATAACATATTATTCTCACCGTTTATACCATATTAAGAGTGAAATATCGGCAGAAATAGTAAAAGCAGTATGCCATTTCGAAGAATTATAAAAGATTCGTTCAAACGAACCGATTCGCTCATGTCCAAAATAAGCTCCCAGGCCTTACGTCACAAACCAGACCCACAACACATAATAACACGTGTAGACAAGCCGGGTGTTGTTTCTGTCCGCTTCCAAAACACACGGTTGCTAGCGGGTTGAGTCAGGCAGGACATGATCACATCGGCTTCAGTTCCTTCAACAGAAACTGAATGAATACTTCCGACTCGTCTAATACCGCTACTGCGTTTTTTGATTCGCGGAGATGAATGATGTATTTACGTTACGATCTTAATATGTGTTTACCCTGCAGGTGCGAAGATGAAGCGAACATGATCAGTGCCGATGGCCCCTCCACCAAGTGCGAGGAGACCCGGGACGCGGGGAACAGGAGGAGGCAACCCCCAGAAATGCTGCACCTCATGTTCGCGGTGTCCGTGTGGCTGGTGACGGGCACCACTATATCCAGCCTCAACAAATGGATATTCGCCGTGTACAATTTCAGATACCCGCTGCTTCTGTCAGCCCTCCACATGCTGACGGCGATAGTAGTGGACTACGGACTGATCAAGTGCAGGGTGATCCGGCACAGAGGCGTCTGCGAGCAGGATTTAACCACCAGCGCCAAATGCAAAGTATTCCTGCTGAGTTTGACCTTCTGTGCTAGTATCGCATTTGGCAACGTGGGACTCAATTATGTGCAGCTTTCGTTCGCGCAGATGATCTACACCACCACGCCGCTGTTCACGCTGGCCATTTCCACGCTGATTCTGGGAAAGCAGCACCACTTCCTGAAGTACACCGCGATGATGCCCATCTGCCTCGGGGCGTCGTTCAGCATTATGGGGGAGGTCCAGTTCGACCAGACCGGCTGCCTGTTTGTGTTCGCCGCCACTATGTTAAGAGGCGTAAAAACCATTCAACAAAGTAAGTTTTTTTTATGCTATATACAACTAGGTTAGAATTAAAAATATTCAATTAAAAAACAAAAAAATACAATAAACTAGTTATATAGTACAACTCAATAACATAATAATATACAGTAGGCTAAATAAATAAAAAATACAAGAAAAAATAATATACAAGAGGAAAGTTGTGCTTCAATAAAGTAATAAAGCTTTGAGAATGCTCGATTCATTTAAGCGAACCGATTCGTTCGAACGATTCGATTTAATGAATGGTTGGTAAATGTTATGACGTTTTCTATTTAGTTATATAGATTCAGGGTTTTCACAGTCATGGAAATAACTGGGAATTTGAACTGTACATGTCAAGGTAATTGACAGATTCATGCAAACTTCTATGGTGACATTTGTTTCATGTTCAGCTTTAAAATATTTAATTGGATATAAACAGTTTTTTGTAAGATGAAATAAATCCCTATGCAGTTAACACGAACTGGAAAGGTCATAGTTATGTCATAAAAATGAATAAGGCAGAGTAAGGTGTGGAACCCTGCAGATTGCTAAACAAGTCAAGTGATTCATAACGCCTTTCGAATCGTTTTGAACGAATCACCAAAAAGAATCGGTTCACACGAACGATTCGTTCGTGAGTCGGATGACTCACATAACCCGCAGTTGAACTGCAGAGCGTTTTTCTGATCAGTTTGACAATAAAACCTGTGTTAATTTTTTTTAGAAAGGTATTTGAAGCTGTATCTAACTTAATCATCATTCAAAAAGCCACCGGCTGTTTTATTGACATATGAAAATAATCTTAACCAAATGTTCCTTAGAGTACAGCCTATTTTTGTCCCTTCACTCGGCTAGTTCACATTCTCATGGTCATCATTTATGTAACTTCCTAGTGTGTGTCTGAGTCAGAGGAGAAGGTGTCTGCCAACAGCTGGCACATCCTGTTCCAGACACTCGCCCGTGAACGGCTGCTGCTGCTGCTGTTGTTTTAACCCGATTTCCCAAGTAGCAAATGACCTCACAGAAACAAACAGGGATTGGATACTTGACTGATTTCTTAAAATGAGAGTCAGCTGAGCTCCATTAGTTTAAGTGTAATTATGTAGGTGTCTGGCCCTGAGAACATCAAGGAGTGAGACCGGACTGAGGGCGAGAGTCTGCGGTTTACTGGCAGAACCTGTTTTGTACACATTTAGTCTTTATATGACTACATATCTTGTCACATACAGCTGCAGTCATGTATGTCGATGTTATTCAATGCTATGTGTGTCAAAGTAGAAAAAATTCTTAGTCACTGTAGAATTACATAACATAACCTACAGTTTGCATGCAAGCTAAATGGGCAGTGCCTTGTTTTTAACAAAGTCAGCGTTGTTTGTTGTTCTCTACAACTAAAGCTATGATGGGTCAGTATTAGAAGGAACCAAGTGCATGTTATAATGATAATAATAATAATAATTTAAAATTTTTTGTAAACCACGGGGTGTAATAGTGAATAGTGTAATGTAGATATTCAGATGTATATAATAAAATATATAATTAAAATATAGCCTTGGTCAGGGAGCGATATTACTATTATTGTTATTATTATTTAATTAATAAAAAAACAAAAGGGGGATATTTGAACGAAAATGTGATTATTGAAAATTTAATGTAGAAGTTTAGATAATGTAGAAATAAAGTTTAATTCATAATATAAAATAATATAATTATTATAAATTAATAAATATTATTATAATATAAAAGATGGTAAAAATACAGAAAACATGTTTAAACTGAATTAACTAAATTACATAGATGTTTAATAATTAATTAATTGACTGTAAAGTTGTTTATACCCCATGAGGTATTAAGTTTGAACATATTACAGCCATCCATCCCGACAAATTTGTATTAAATTGTAAAGAATGACAGTGCATTGGCTAAAGATAATTTTGCCAAATTATAACATTAGTTTGATTACTCACCGCTCCACTCAGAAAACAATTAATTAAATAAATAAATAAATAAATATATATATATATATATATACTAACTACATTTTTTGTAATGAATTTAGATTGTAATTAATTTACTCACCCACTTTGCATTCTTGGTCCAGGAGAGATACTCCATGTGGTTTATCTAGGTCATCTGTTGGTTTTATATTTCAGTGGACTATTTTAGTTGTGACCGTTGCATCACAGAGGTTAAGGTTGTTTACTATATGCGTCACACTATATCTTAGCATGTGCTGTGGTAAATGACAATCCAGATGGCCAAAAAATGTGTGTCAGTGCTGAGCAACTACATATAGAGAGGTATAATAGCTAAACTAACACACTTTTTTTTGTATATGTATAATTATCAGGCATCTTGCTCCAGGAGGAGAAGATCAACTCTGTCTTCCTACTGTATCTGATGTCCATCCCCAGCTTCTGCATCCTGGCCATAGCCGCCCTGGTTCTGGAGAACTGGGCCGCGCTGCAATCCCCTTTCCAGTATGACCACCACCTCTGGGGTTTCATCTTGCTCAGCTGTCTGGGCTCAGTGCTTTACAACCTGGCCAGCTGCTGTGTCATCACCCTGACCTCCGCTGTCACGCTGCACATCCTGGGCAACCTGAATGTGGTGGGGAACCTGCTGCTGTCCCAGCTGCTGTTTGGGCACGAGCTGACGGCTCTAAGCTGTGCTGGAGCTGCGCTCACCCTCTCAGGCATGATCATCTACCAGAACTCAGAGATCATCGTAGCTTACATCGACACACGGAGAGCCAGGACACCAGCCGGTGGCAGCAGAGAGGACGTGGTTTGTGTTAAGGAGAATGATTCGAACATATCACAGACTCCAGAACCTTGTTCAGAAGGAGAATCATCTGCAGAAGCAGCTCAAGAACCTAACAAGAGTACAGAGAATCAGGTTCATGAGAAAATGGACTGAAGAGACTTAAAGGCTGTGTTCCAAAACCTAGTGAGCTGCAGTGCTGCTGTCTATAGCCAAACTCCTGACTTTTTTCTTGAATGGAGTACAAGGAAAGTGAAAAGTGGTCATGGCTCTCTTTGGTCCATAACCACTTTCATTAGATGGAAAAGAGAAGCTTGAGTTATTATAGTTAACTAAAACTTAACTAAAACAATAAAAAAATGTGCTCATTTAAATAAAATGAATGTTAACTAAAGTAAACATTTTTTTTAATTTTAGGTAGTTGCCAAAACTGAAATATATACTAAAATAAAAATTAAAAACAAATAAAAACAATTATAAAGTTGCATTTAAAAAACCCCCCGAAAAAAAAAAAAAAAAAAATTTACTAAAAGCCTTGTTGTGGGCAGTGCGCCGATATATAGCACCATTACGCTACAGGCGTCCCGAGTTCGAATGCCGGCTGAGGACCTTTCCCTACCCCCCTCTAACTTCGCTTCCTGTCTACAATACTGTCATATAGGGCTGTCAAAAAAAATTTCGAATTTCGAATATTCATAGAATTTAAAATAAATGCAAAAACGTTGCATTCGAATTTTAGGTGTGCGTTAAGGAGGCTGCCTTATCAGTGGTGCACAAAATGCAATGACTGCAATGACATCCTTTTTCGCATTTTCTAGACGGACATCTATCAATGTTGCACTCGCGTCTCACACAAGACACACAAGAGTTTAGAAAGCCATGTAAAATTTATGTAAATTCAACTTTGAAAAAACATATCTCGAGACTTTATGGCGGGTTTTTTCCCCATCCCACTGCATCTCATGTTCTTAAATGAAAAATATACTCTGTGTGATTGGCTTTCGGCCCTTTGTATTAAACTATGAATACATACATGATGCTGTTTTGTTTATAGTTGTTTAAGCAACTTAATTATAATTGGTTTATAAACATTATTTTAAACATTATGCACTTTTTTTCGCAGATAGTCATGTTATCTTATGCTTTGAATGATGCGCCCTCTTGTGGCCTCA